TAAAGTGGGTGAAGATCAAATGAGCTTTAGGACGAGCAGATCCTCAATCAAGCCAAATGTTTGCATAAATAACTTCTAGTACTATGGAGAGGATGCCATTGATGGAACATCTAGGCCAAGAAGATTGTTTTAAAGCAAGAGGGTCTACACTTTAGGCATAAACAAATAAGTAATTTGTGGCTTTTAAATTTGAGACTCCTTTGATAAATTTCACTAAAATTCATCATGATTAGAATTGTTTGTGAACCACTGCTCTTGATAAATGATTTGGACAACTTGATTAACATTCATTCAAGTTAGTGATTAAATAAATTAAATCACTTTGTGAAAATATGTAATTTATCATGCTCATAAATTAGCTTATTCATTGTTTAATAGGTAATTTATTAAAGGTTTATTTTTAAGGTGTTATTTAATTACCTATTTTAGTTGTGTAAAGTAAATAAAAAGCATGGGTTTTTAAAAATTCTAATGTTTGATTGGATGAAAATGATTTGTAATATCAAATTTTGTTGAATTTAGAACTCATCTTGAAATTCAAAAATGATATATTCTAAATTTGTAGATTTGAGTAATTTTCAAATACATTGCAAATAGTAGTTGCAGTTGTCGTGATTGCCCCCTGGCAACATGACGAGTCAGCCGCCTGATGCCGCCTCACCATTCACCTATTGCTATCGTCACCCTTCTGGCAGCCCCGTCGCCAACTGGCCTCCATGATTGTCGCCTCCTCCACCTCCCGCTGCCCACCTGAGACATCGCAATTATCAATCATTGACGCTGTTATCAGCGAGCATACTTTATATATTCTTTTTATGTTTCTTTAAACTAACAAAAAATATAAAATTCTTCGTTTACTTTAATCAAATCTCTTACACTACAATTTTTTTAGCAATTATTTTTTCTAAATATTTTATAAATTTGAAGTAATAAAAATAATATTAATTATAATTAAAATGAAAATTTTTTAGCTAAATTGAATTTGAAAATCATTAAAATTATTCTAAGATGTTCATAAAACATGGAAAATTAATTAAAATTTACTTTTGCTCATCTCAAAATAAATCTAATAAAATTGAGAACAATCCTAAATAAACATTTAGTCAAAACATATCAAGCTCATTTTTTCACAATTAAAATTTAATCCAAAAAATGTCAATTTATCAAAATTTTGAAAGCTAAAAAATTAGTTATTGTATCAAAATATAAATTAAGCTCTAATTTAAAAACCTTAGTTTCAAAACTTCGTAGAACCATGTAAGATTAACGACTGCTTCGACAAATATAATAAAATTACGCCGCGTTCCCATATCAGTTGGCAGACATCAGCTTCGTCAGTTGTAAATCCCCTCCAGACGACTGATGCTATATGAGGATGCTACTCAAGTGATCAAGCCCATGGGTCTAACTCAGACATGACAGATTGCGAGCGAGGAGTTGTTGGCAGTTCCACCGATCAACCACCTTTTCTTAAAAAAATAATAATAATAGCAAAGGAGAGAGAGAATTACATACATAACGCTTAAAGTTTAGTTATTTACAAAATCAATACTAATATGATTTTTTTAAATAATCAAGTTAAATATTAATAATTTGATAAAAAAATAAAACATAAATAATAAGAAAATTGAATTTTGGTATTGATGCGAGACAGCAAGCCAAGAAAATATTAATTTATAAATAGCCGAAATTTGAATATTTTTATGTACATAAATATACGAGAACTTAGAAGATAAGACGGCGGTATTTGCAAGCTCCTTAGCCATTTATTATAACCAACAGATAATGTTGCTTTGATATGAATTTCTGAACTTGGCCACATAATTTATTTGTACTTACATATGTAACTCTCCAAAAGGGAGCTGCAACGTTGTATCTGAGCGTTGTAGTGTTGTGCTCTCGAGTTTCTGAACTTGGACTGGGCATTGTGGCGCCGCTGGTTTAGTCGTTGGGGCGCTGCATTTAGGTGATGCAGCGCTCTTTTACGGGTGTTGGAGTGTCGTGCGCTTAGGTTTGAATCTATATCAGGAGCGGAGGCGCTGGCTTTTGGGCATTGGGGCACTAGATTGCCATGCTCTCAGTTTTGAATCTACAATATTTGACGGAAAATTGCTGTCTTGAATGTCCAATTTGGATCAGCGGAGTGGGAGTCTTTTTTTTGAGAAGCAAGGAAGCAATAATATCAAAGACAAGTAGCATTAGATTCCCTTTCTGCAAACATTTAGAAAAATTGTAGCAAATTTTCTTAAACCTTAGCTAATAACTATAGCATAGAAGTTCTACAAACATTTAGAAAAAATATTACATCAGTACGCCACACGTAGAGTTAGGTGCGGAGTTCAATGAAATCACGCCACTTGAGAAAAAAAATCAGTCTGGTAATACGTGGAATATTCTCCTGTGTTATTCGGGTGTTATTGTATGTTATTCATGTGTTATTGTGTTCTGGGAATATTCCTAGTGTTATAATAACACAATAACACATCAATAACACTTGAGTAACATACAATAACACCTGAATAATATGGGGGGAATATTCTTCTGCGTTACCAAGGCTGATTTTTTTTTCTCTACGTGTGGCGTGATTTCATTGGACTCCGCACGTAACTCTACGTTTTGCTCGAATTTATAAAAATTTGTTGTTGTAATTAATATAAAGGTTTTAGAAAACTCTTTTCAACAATACTAAAATCATTTAATTCCAACAAGAGAGCTAATAAATTGCTGCTACATATTGTTCATTTTTTGTTCCAGTCATTTTATCTGTACATTGATGCCACTACTTTCCTATGTTGTCATATTAAGGAATGCACCTGAGAGCCTTATACATATGCTCACACCATTGTGTTCATTTATCAAGAAGACATATTACAGGGGCAGCACCTTTGATACTCATTTTCATTTTATAAAAAAAGTCTTTTCAAATTTTATTCAATGGTAGAAATCATAAAAAAAGAAATGTAAAATTTTTCTCTATTTAATTTAGAGATAAACAAATAACTTATGAGTATTTTAAATGCATTGGTAGTCTACATTTTTTTTACATTGCATTTGTTATCCAAGAAACCAAATAGCCACTAATTAGAAGTGCAATGAAAATTTTAAATGCATTAACTATGAAAAACTTGCATGTTTTGAAAAAGTTATAATATTTAATCTTATATGTTTTAATTGTAAACGACAAAATGAAGACTGATGGAGCTACTTCAGGCAACACCAACTCCTTAATGTATTATCGAATGGATCTCGTTTGCTTGAGCCTTCGCAGCCAGACTCTAGCCCGATCCTTCGCGTTCTCAGGGTAGAATTGTCTTTTTAGTTCTTTTTTTTAAGTCATCAAAGGTGGATTTGGTTTACATGCCTTTCTTGATGTCTTAACACCTTTTTCTCCATCACAACATAGCGATGTGTGAGAAATAAAGAGTTGCAAATTGTATTTTTGCCTCTTCATCCGTAATCCCCATCATTCCAAAGTATTGGTCGAGTCCCTATAGAAAGTTATTTACCTCCTTTGCAATGCGAGCTCCCCCAAAACTCTTAGGTATTGGTACTTCGACGCGCTTGACTTGGAAAATATGATTGCTGGTGGAAGTTGTTAATGCTTTCTTGCATAATAAAATGTCTCCACGCATCTCTTCCAGGTTATCAGATATGTTGTTGATCTCTTTATCATGAGATTGTTGTACGTTGAGGAACTCTTCCATTAGATCTTCTCGCATCTTCACCAATTTTTTTTTCATGGCTTTCTCCACTTGAAGCATCATACATGTGATTATGGAATGGATGGTGATGTCATCCTCCTCAAGTTCATCCACCTTTTGCCGTAGATCATCTATCTGGGTCTCCGTGTCATTCAAAGCCTCCTCTACCTGAGCAAGGCGTGAATCAAAGCCATAAATGTGTTCATTTGACCTCTCATATGGTTTGCATGCAGCAAAATCTCGTTGCCCCATCTTTGTTTAGATTGCTCCATATTTGTTGCTTTGGACTCCATGACATGCTCTTTAAGACTCTTTGCCATATCTTCGAACTTGTCTCTAATACCAACAATCTCAAACAAACATCTCTCAAGTTACCCATACGACTTTAGCTCTCTTCCTTGACAAAAAAATCAACCCATCTCTAGCAACACTTGGACTCATAAGCACAAAACACTCATGGAATAAGTCAGGAAAAAGTATTGGAGAGTTGTACATTTCATTGAGAAAAAGAGATTACAACACTTGAATACTTAGGAACTTTGGATTGGATCCAAATCAGGGGGGGGGGGGGGTCCCTTTTTTTTTATAGTCCCGTTCAAGTTTAAGGGAATTTTCTAGATTACATTTGAATAATCTAGTTTCTAGATAGTTCTACAACATTCTCTTATATTCATACATAACCCTAAATCTTTTTAGGTTATTCTTGCATTCTCCTTGGAGCTTTTCTTTCTAATATTCTCTAGTATGCAATGGAGTCTTGTAAAGTTACTTGGATTACTCTCCCCCTTATGGTTTTCGCTAGAATCTTCCATCCCATGGTTATCTTGCCAATTTCTTTGAAAACGGCGGAGTGCGACTAGTTGCTCATTTTGGAAATAATCTGGTTCCGCCCCTGCACTAAACTGTATTCTATTTTTTTTAATCACTCTCAACCTTTAGTCATTTATCACTCAAGTGATGTTGTTTAACTTCCTTAATGTAAATTCAAGCAATTTGTTACGAAACTCTTGAAATATTGCGAATTATGAAATATACATACACCTTTTTATCTATTTTTCAAATCCTTACTCAAATATCAAAATACACAACAAATCACCAACTCATATTTTTCATTTTTTATCACATTCTCAATCTTTAATCGTGACACGAATAATGCAACAATTTGCTATTTTTAAAAAATTGATCTGCATGTTATTTTAATAAATAACAAAATTCTAAATGTTATGCATGTAATTATCCCCAAAAAAATTAAATTGAAGTATTAATAGAGGAATTTCTCCTTTCAGAATACCAAACCCTAATATTACGGTGACAAGGGTTAAAAGGTCAATGAAACGATCGCTCCTCAACTGCAACTCTCTCGCGGTTACTCAGATATTTCTTCTGGCAATCTTTCATTCCCGTTTTTCTGACTGACCTCTTATCTTCAGATTCGAGACACGTTATAAATATCTCCACCCAATCCTCTATTCCTGTTTCCCAACCCACCACTCTTGATTGCCTCTCCTTGCGGTTGCCATCCTCCGTCTCCGGTGATACCCCGACCCCTCCATCCCAAAATGAATGACGCTGATGTCTCGCGGCAGATCCAGCAGATGGTGCGGTTCATCCGCCAGGAGGCCGAGGAAAAGGCGAACGAGATCTCCGTCTCCGCAGAAGAGGTTGCTTCTCTTTCACTCTTTTTTTATATTATTTCCTTTCCGTGAGGTCCCGCCGTTTTGATTCGCGTTACTGCTCGGCTGAGTTTGTTGAGAACCGTCTTCGAGAGGTTTGAGAGAAGCCGCGGAATGAGATATTTCGCGTTACTGCTCGGCGGAGTTTGTTGAGAACCGTTTTCGAGAGGTTTGAGAGAAGCCGCGGAATGAGATATATGGTGGAGGCTAAAGAGTTTTTGATGGTGAATCATTTTCGCTGTTTGGTCTGTTAGATCTTGTGCTGGATTTCGAAGTAGGAATTGGGTTTTTGTAATTTTTTCTTGTGATTGAAGTTACTCCCTGTGTTGTTGAGAGCAGTGTGATGTCTGTGACGACCTAGTTGCTTATTTCTGGATCGAATCACATCAGATTTGTTGATTAGTGGGCGGTTAAATAATTGGTGGAATGTGAGAAACTGAAAACTGCCTTCTCACTTGGAATGGTAGCTTGATGAAGCGATGTTTCTATATTTCCATCAGATGATGGTTAATTTTTTGTTTAAATTTTTGTTATGATCCCGATAAACCACTGTTTCAAGCTGGCCGCAAACTCTAGAAATTGGGGAATTGAGGAGGAGAAGAAGAGGACCACAGCAAAGATGTTTTTACATTTTATTCTTTGATTCCTAGTACTTTCCAAGATGGGCATTTAAATAATTACGAGGCCCATTTAGCTACTAACCCTAACACAACACACTCGTACCTATTATAATTAATAGATAACTGATATAAGCCATTACAAATTCCTATACAAATTCCTATTACCTTTGTTACCGGTTGATCCACTGAGTTGCTTTGTGATGATTGAGCATTTTCATCCCTTGTTAAATTTTAGTTAAAGCATATGATTATTTTTGTGCAATTTTTAATTTCAGGAATTTAACATTGAGAAGCTGCAACTAGTTGAGGCAGAAAAAAGGAAGATTAGACAAGAATATGAACGCAAACAGAAGCAAGTTGAAGTTCGAAGGAAAATGTAAATTGTGCATTCATCTGCTAGTCTGCTTTTGGTTTGATTTATGTTGTTTTTATATTTTGTTGTTAGTAGGAGCAATAGGCTTTTTCGATCTGCCTTTAGCATATGATGATTTGAAGTGATGATGCTTATTTTTTGTTGACTTGGCCTTTTGTTTGGGATTGTTGTGCTGAGTCTGCCATGTTAAAATGCTTGAAATAAAGTTGGGATTATGCAAGTGATGGGCAACTTGCTTCACAAGTTCTTTCTCAATGAATGCATAGTGATGAAGGGGGGTGCACACATGTGGTAGGGATTTTGATCTTTGTTTTTTACATGAAATTGGTTTGTGATAAAGAAAATTTCAAAATAAATGCATTAATAATTGAATTGTTATAAGTTTGGAGTTTAATGCAACAAATGTCCTTACAAAATGCTTGCCGTGTAACTGAGGAGTTCAAAACATTCACTTCATGACATATTTGTGAAGACTGGTGATAGAAGTAGGAAACCTAGAAAGCCTTAGAATTTTAGCGACTTGTATAAAACATTCAATTATAATTCAACTAATTAAGTTGGCTAGTTTGTTTTTGGAGTCACTATTATGTCTATATTTACTTGTTTCCAACATGCATGGTTGTTTTGGCGATGTACTGACATTGGTAGTATTCTTTAAAGCTACCCAAAGAAGAATTAACTTTTCCATCAAGTATATTTTAGATGCATTGCTGAATTGCCAGAAATTGTAAAGATATAATGTATGATTTAGAGGTTCAGATACACGACATTTGATTTGATGTAACTTTGCAACACTAACTATAATAATGATAATAACTTTTTTTTTTTGAAAGAATGAGCTCTAGTAGTTGTTATCTACATTTTTTAATTTTAGGAGCAATTTGGTTGGAAGCATTATGAGTGTATTTTAGTGTCTTTCTTTTTATTCAATATTTTTTGTTATTTGGTTTGATGCCAAATAAATATAAAGTAAAATTTTAAGGACTTTAAAATGCCTCCAAGTCTCTTTTTTTATGCATTTGGAAATTATCTGAACAGGCAATTTTCAAATCATTGCATTGCACTTGTGATGCTTCCTTATTTGCAATTTCTTACAATAATAAAGAGGAATTTGATATTTTCTTATATATCTACAAAACTGTTTTACTAAAGTTGTTGAGAAAAAGAAAAGCACAAAATTTCCTTACCACCTTGCTAGTGCCACACCTAGCCTGTCACCTTCCTTTTGAGTTTATAGATAATGAATAAGAGAAAATTTATTTGAACTTTATTCTAAAAAATACAAAAGATATTTCATCTGCATCTAATCAAACAAATTCTCTATCTTTAAATTGCACGCATTCTTGTTACTTTTGGTTTCTAAAATCATTAGTTTTGAAAACATCCAGCTAAGCAAACCTTCGACATGAATATATTTCAAAACTTGGGCCATCTTTTGGTTCAGAAAAAATTCTTAACATAGCACCTTAAATAATTATGCAAAAAAATTATTGTGAGGACATGGTAGCCAGAATTTGGTCATCATGGCTTTTAATTAACCATTATTTAAAATTGCACAATTGGTTACTGAATCATTTTTCATTTGTAAAGTGAGGCTAAGGCTCAAGGCATTTCGAGGTGTCAACCTCAAATTTTAAAAACTGCATACATCAAAAGATATTGCATAAATTATAAATTATGAAGAGACATAAAATATCAATATCCTAACCTATTAATACATTAAGAAGTAATATAACAACATTATAACTAAGTATAAAGTAATAAATTGCATAAAATTAGAAGTAACTCATTAGTGTCTTAACATTAAATTATAAAATAAGATGGGATATACAAACATTAAACTTTTAAAGTAAGTTAAGATATTAAAATAAAATACTAAAATATTAAAATATAAAAATCAAAATAAGTTCAACATACGTTTTTTATCTCACTCTTGCTACCTCCTCTCAAAAAAGAATATAACTAATCATTATTTGAATTTTTAAATTTAGAAGTCTCGATTACTCTAATTACCCAATTGATTTTCATTAGAATTGTCGGTATAATGAATTGTTTATCTCATGCCTTATCTTTTGTCGTATGTACATTCTCACATTCCTTAGTCTCTTTAATCCAATTTTTCTTCTATTTTTATTGAATAATTATTAATAAAATATTATTTAAAATAATAACTATGTTAATAGTTATAACTTTAACTGAATACATTTTTTTTTATTAACTTTTCTTTTTATTTTTGTTATTTAATGGTGGGGTGTGAGGGTTAGTTGGTGAGGTATATTGATATTACTTTTAGCTTTTTTTTTTTAAATTGCAGATAGTCTAAAAAATTTGAGGCATTTTTTGAGGCTTGACATGCCTCATCCTAGGTGAGACAATGGGGCATACACCTCATTGATATTTTTGTAAAAATTCTGATGGAGGCCTCAATGCGCACCTTATATTGCTTAATTTTAAACGCAGGTTTTATCATTTGTAGTCACAATGAAATGAGTGCAATATAAAATTTGATTTATTATTTATGCATTGCACTTATTTCAAAGCAAATCCAAGGGTTTTTGAAAGCCATCTTGATCATCTTTTGGTCAGGATATCGACCAAAATTTTATTCTAATTTTCCACCTTGAACATGGCTAAACTTCATTTTGAAAAATTTTCATGTTGCCAGCAATTTGGCTACTTCTCTTAACTCTATTCATTACTCTCAAAATTTCAACTTTTTATCACTTTAAGTTTGCTCAAAACTACCGTACCTTATAAACTGGTGGTTCTGAGATTAGGTTGGATTGCACTTATGATAACTGATAAGCTAGTGTTTCTGAGATTTTAGATTAGATGGTACTTTTGAGCTTCTGACCAGCATTTCCACAGCTGAGTTCTTTCACATTGAGCCTCTTCCTCAAGAAGTGATTATGCAGCAGGTTCCAATGTTAATTTGGCTGACCTGAAACAACATAGTCTATGTCCGTTATGTCATTTTCTAGATTTTATTCCTCTGCAAGGCTCTTCTTTGGTTTCAAATTGCAAAGATATTTCCTTCTTTTTTTTCTTTCTTTAGCTTTCCGTTTCAATCATTTTAAATCATGTGAAATAGACATAGGCAGATAAATGCAATTTCTCGTCAGAGAATTAAACTTGCCTGTTTGATCTAACAATCTCTTTGAACAAAGCAGATCCCATGGCACAATAGTTTTTTTAGTCGGTTTTTGAGAAAGTTGTATTTCACTGCTATCTTTTTTGCAGCATGTTTTCAAACTTCGCTCATTCATGGTTTTATCTCATACGTTATCTGTCCTTGTGTAAAATTTTACTGAGACTATTATGGCTTTATTTGCACAGTGATTGTTGTATTTCTTAAAAAATTATTAGATATTTAACTTACCTTTTGTTTCTTCTATATTTTTGTTTATTAAAATCAAAATGTTGAATTTGTCATAGTTTCTTGTTATTCCTTCTCTAACTGATTGACGTGGATTAAGATATGTGAGATTTCTCAGTTTGGAAAAAATAGGAAATTTCTCATCTTATTTGCTTTTAAGGGATAACACTAATGATGTTGTTGAGGATGCTATATCATATTCCTTGTGTCCCTCTGTATAAATTTTACTGAAACTTCTCTTAAGGTTTTGTTTGCACAATGATTTTCATAATACTTCTTAAAAATTATGTGTTAGTTATTTAAATTACTTTTTTTAGTTCTATATTTTTGTTTATTAAAATAAAAATGTTAAATTTATAAGCTCCTTGTTTTTAATTCTCTAGTTGACTAAGGCCTCGTTTGCGAATGCCTTACCGTTTTATGAATTCTATTTTAAAGCAATTTTTTAAAAGGCGGCGTTTTAAAGTTTTCGTCAGTAACCAAAACTTAGCGTTTGAATGTTCTTCGTTTTAACGAGATGTTGAAAAATAAAAAAAAACTGTTTTACCCCGTCGCCTCCCCTTGCACGCAAGGTTCTTCTCTGAGTTTGCCCCTTCTTGCCCCAAGAGATCGAGAAAGGCGGAAGCAAACCAGTCTCTTGTATCTCACTACTCAATCAAGCGGGCAATTAAGTCACTGAACATCTTGAAGTTCAAAGAACAATATAAGAAATTTCCGGTGATAATGCCCTCGCGAACGGCATCGGAGCTATCCCCACCTAGCTTGCTGCCAATCTCACACAAGGTTCTGTCCATCGTTCCTGGAAATGCTCCAGAGGTAAGACTCGCTAGCGTTGATGCCTTCGTGTCGAACCATGGAGTGATTGTCGCCGCTGGTTATCAAAAGGATAAATTGAACTTTTCTCTTGCCTACCGCAGAATGTAGGGCCGACTGCGTTCGAATTTTTGCCACTGCTTTTCGTTGGATGCGAAGTGGAGGGAGGGCTGTCATCCAAACACCAAAACTTCTGTTCCTCTGCTTTGTTCGCACCGCAACGGAGGCTGGCCACACCCTCAAAAGTGCACTAAGGCATTGTAACATTATCGGATTTTCCACTTTTGAAAAAAAATGAAAATATGGTTCTCAACTTATTTGCTTGCATCCCTTCAAATATTTCGGGCAGACTACTGATTTTGATGATGATGACATCTTTTAATAGTGATTGATGTGTGTTTCGCCTGCATTCTTGCTTCGTTTTGCCAACGAATGCTATTTTGATAAAAAAAGAATTTTTCATATGTATGGTAACTTAAGATATATTCAGTCTGTAGAATTTCATTTTTACAATATAATTTCTACAAAATGAAAATGATCATTGCTAGTTATTTTCATGTTTATTTGTCTACTATGGTTTATATTCATGGCTTGATTAATATTTTCATTTATTTGGGCAGTGAGTATTCAATGCAGCTTAATGCTTCTCGTATTAAAGTTCTTCAAGGTCAAGATAAACTGGTCAATTCAATGAAGGAGGCTGCTACAAAGGAGATTCTGAATGTTGCCCATCATCATCATACATATAAACATCTCCTGAGAGATTTGATTGTTCAGGTCAGGCTAACAGTTGATAATGTTAGCAGTATCACGCTTATTTTCAATGTCCAATTAAGGGGGCATTTACATACATTTGGTACAATTCTTATTTATTTACATGTCTCACTCATAAACTTTCATATTTACACACATATTTACATACATTGGTTACAATTCTTATTTATTTACATGTCTCACTCATAAACTTTCATATTTACACACATAACTTTCATATTTACACACATACTCACTCATAAACTTTCATATTTACACACATACCACTCAAATCTTTAATATCACATCAAAAATAGCACTGTTACACTTTTAAAAAGTGAAATCACTGTTACACTTTTAAAAAGGGAAATGCACCTTTTGATGCGTACAAAGCACTGAAGTGCTATTTATGTAAATATGAAAGTTTAGTTGTGATGTGTAAATGCATTAGAATTGTGTGCTATGTATGGAAATTACCCCAAATTAAAATTTTAAATTCTTTATACATGCGAACCATTGTGAAACTCTATATGACATGCATATGCTTAAATGATTTAGAAAGAGAAAAACCTGTGTTCTTGAGCATTGGTGCGCTGTGCTTGGTATTTATTAGTGGATACATTATATTAGTGGATACATTATATTGACTCTGGTTTTGGTTCTTGTACATCATTCAAGATTTACACGGTTAAAATGAAGTTAGAATCTGTATATTATAGGCCTCAGAATAATCTACCTTTGAGGCATCCAATTCCCTAAAATGGTTCACAAGCACAAGAATGTGCTTGCTTTTTAGGAATGAAGTATTTGTGTGGGTAAATACAAATGCTGTTATGAATTAGTTGTGCTAAGATTCTATAGCTGAATGCAGTCGGGTTTTCTTTTGGTAAATTTTTAAAGATTAGTTTGGGTGGAAAAGTTAACTTTTGGACTGAATTTTTTTTAATTTTGGCTTTATTTTGTTTTAATGTTAAATTATCTATAATGACATTGGCTGATTATATTTTGTAATTTTAGGGCTTGCTTCGACTGAAGGAACCAGCTGTATTGTTACGTTGTCGAGAGGAGGATCTTGAGTTTGTGGATGCTGTTCTGAATGAAGCGAAGCATGAATATGCAGAAAAAGCTGGCGTCCATCCTCCTGAGATCATTGTTGATAATGATGTGTATCTACCATCTTCTCGTAGTCATCACGATACTCATGGGCAATTTTGGTAAAAAATCTACTTTTATAATTAAATGTCATTGGTGTCTATAATCTGTCTCTTTAATGAGAACTAAATAATATGCAACAAATTTTTTATTGGTATCATTATAGCTTCTCGTATGAATTTTCTCACGTTTTTGCTAAGGTAGGCATCTATGTTGTTGTATGCTGTAATTATAACGCAATCCATGCCTTAATCCACTAAATATCATTTTGAGCTTCATAAATTAATTGAAATACTTTTAGTTAACTTATTATCATTATCTTCATTAGCATTATTCATGGATTCGCCACTTCTTCAAATTAAGGGGATGCAGTGCTTGGTGCATACAAGATATTTACTTGACAATGAGGCATGGCGCTTACACCTATTGGATATGGCACAAGCGTGCACAAATATAATGATTGGGAGATATGTAATTTTTTTCATCTTTTACCCTTTGGATGGTAGATAGCAATAACTTTGGTGCTACTGATTTGAACTTTTATTTATTTATATAAGACCTTCATATTAAGTTTCTTGTTGATATATCTAGGAGGGCGTTGTATTTGTTATACTAGTATTAGTACTAGGAGGTTATGATTGTGGGTTTTGAAAAGCTCTGAGTAACTCGTATTCTGGGAGGGTTGATTTTGTCAGGCGGTAGAGATTTTGCCTTGTTGTGAGGATATTTTTTTTGTGGTTCTTAGGATTGCAATAGACACAAGCTTCGTAATTAATTAAACTCACTAAGGAGAGAGCTTTCGATTATGATTGCATTACGAACTCTCATAAATTAGTCATTTCAATTACTATCTTGGTGCACATGAAGATAGTACGCTCTTGTGCTAAGAAGTTTTTATTTAGGGATTAATGATTCATTCGATCAAAATTTCATGGTGCCACTACCTTGATTTATATTATCAATAGAGGTGGAGAACCCAATCTAACTCAGTCTTTATTGACATTTATGAGGTGCTTTATTTAAGGCGACATAATAATTCAGGATGAAAGCTATAGGGCAATCAACTTTAAATCTACTTGGTCTAATGTACACTTTTGTGCCCTATCAGATGCGACAAAACTTGAAGCTCAGATACGTGCCACATTCATACTTTTGTTGTAATTGCAGGATAGTGGCGCCATTGCTCTTTGATTAACCACATTGTCATTTGTTAGGTTCTTTCTAGCTTAGAATTTTGAGATGGCTTTGTTTGATAGTATTGATACGATTGGTTCCTTTTTGAGTTCTAATAAAATTTTAATTTGACACTCTGAGCTTACTACAGTGGGTAGAGTTTGCTTCACTCATAGACAATTAATATTATATATTTTTTGATGGGTTATGGTAAGTTTTATATATTTTAAATTTTGAGTGGCAATTCTATATAGTTTTAAGGGGGCATTATGCCGTTTATCAAAGGCTATATCAATTTTATTCACTATTTTTTATTGTGATTAGGGGTTGATTGGAGTTTGGTCATTTGAGACATTAGGGGCATGAAATTTACGAATGATCTTAGCATCTTAATATATGTGGCTTGACCTTAGGACCAAGGATTGACTAGATTGGTGGCTTGGAATACTCTTTTTGGGATTTGATGACAATGTGATGTAATTGAGGAGGTTTAATAAGGGGTTTTAAGGTTATCATTTTTATAATGCTGGATTTTTTTTTCTTGACAATCATATTGTCTTATCAATAAATTCAATTTAAGCTATCTAAAATTTGCATGTCTATTCTCCACAAAAGATGAGAATCAAATAGTTGAATACTAAGCTTCACTTTCTCCTTCCACAAGAGCCTATTTTTTACATTCCCTTGAAGAAACTCCCACTTTCACTTCACTTTTTATTTACAATCTTGCTATTCTGCTACTATTATAATTTCTCAAGATTTTCCCTAGAATTTTCCAATAATAATAAATATTTTTGAAGTTTTTCTATTGACCTAATCACAGGAGAAGACATTAATTGTATGTAGGATAAACTCTCTTTCCATTTGTGCACCTTACGAAGACTTCAACTCAACATGAAAGATTTATTATAGGTAGGGGAAACTGATGGAACGCAAGTGTATGGATGTTGTAGAAGAAAATGAAAACTGAAAGTAGATGACAAGATTGAATGGATGATTCCTCTGTCAATTTGCTTGATTAAGGCATGTGCTCAATATAATTATAGTATTTCATATTTTCATTTCGTTATTTTATTTTTCAGCTATCGGAATGAAGATGTAGTTGTGATAAGTTATATAATTCTACTAAAATTGGCCATTCAAGCTAGTAACTTTGATCAACCCAAGTAAGTCAAAGTTAAAGCCCCACCTTATAATTGCCACATCACCATGCAAGTTAATAATTGACCCTCCTTTAAAAGCTTCCATTCTAGTGTTTTGATGTATGCATGGAGTATTATGAATCGCCCCCCTTAATTTTAATAGATTTATGCATGATGGATTTCTGCTAAGGCTTGTGAAAGGTTCATTTCTCTTGCTCATGTTGAGGTTGGCTCCTTTTAATGTTTATATTTTTTTTTGAGTTTCTATTTTATCTATTTCATGAAAAGCTCATATAAATTATATTATAATATTTTAAATGATAGGTTTTAAATCAAAATTGAAGATTTCTTCTCTTTGAAAAAGCTTGGTGGCTAATTCACTTTCTTCCTCTCTTGTGTTATGGAGCTTCCCCACTCAATCCTCTCAACTTTTGATAAGCAATTTCATTTTTTCGGTAAGCTCCTCAATCTACTACTCACTTTTGCATACTTTTAACACCCTTTAACAACCTTATCCTTTTATTTCGATCATTTCATTACATGCTTAACTCATTATTGTCAAGCCTCTCACCCTATCTTAAACCCCACAAATCGTCGTCATATGCTCTTCATTCTCAATAATAACCCAAAATTAGCCTAACCTTGTTGGAGTCTCTCGGTCACTATTAAAAAACGACCTTCTTATAGCTTCCTTCAACCCAATTCACCTTCAATAGGACCTTTTTCTTTTACCTTCACCATTTTAAAAATGCTCTTTCTAATCCTTCCACTTTAGAGCTCATTTCTCCTCTTGTCAATAGGCACATTAGATTTGTTGTGTAGGCTTGATATTTTGAGTGGAGGGCTATTCAGTCGTCCTTTGACCTGATCATATATGTTGTATGCTTTGTTGGGGAACTTCCCTTATCCAATTTGTTGGTGCTTCCTTGAAGCAAGATGGCGTGACTCCAATGTTGTCATGGAATATCTCTTTTGACTATTTTGGCTTCATTGGATATAATAGTTGTTACCAACCCAATAGATTTTTTTTTTGTTTATTTGATTTAAAATTTATACATATTTGGCTATAGTACTTGTGAAGGCATAAATCTTTCTCCTTTGACCATGGTAGACTGAGCATTATTGAGTGCAAATTATTCTTTTTTTTGTGCATTGTACTTTCTGATGGACTAGTCAATCCAAAATAACTGGAGGACTTTCAAGTTTCTAAGATATGTGTGATATTTATTTAGTCGATTTATATGTTAGAGTATATATGGATATGTTTTGTATTTAAGTGGAGTGATTATTTTCTCCTTATATGATTTTCGTATATTTTTTCTATCATTGGGAAGGGGCAGTAGATAGATCCGTAGATGTTATTTGGCTTTAGATTAACAATAGGATATGCTAGGGCATATTCGGTGTATTGATTGACATTCTACTTGCATATAGGTTGCCAACCAATGAGGCGACTTACTGGAGATAGGAGGATCAAATTCGACATGATTTTCAGATTGATATGTAGGGTGATTGATCCTTCGAGGGACACTGTGGTTATTTTGATTTGAGGGATTGAATGATAAATAAACTCCATTGGGTTTACTTGCACGAAGGTTGATGTTTGATTTGACTAATGCCAGGACATGCCACTAGAGATGGAATTACATGAAATGGGTTATCAGTCGGTGGCTGTGATTTGCCGGCGGATCTTGAGATTAGCTTTCAGCATTTAATAGATTTGGCAGGAGATGCAATATCTGGGCAGTGACATGGCAACTCTAATAGGGCATTGGTAAAGTGATTAGTTGGGGATATATACGATTTATTTAATTGACAAGGCAACCTTTAAAGGGGCATGTTGCCTATTTTTGAATTATCAACTGATAGATATGGGTTGGTTTGTATACTTGCCTAGTTGGTTATGAAGTTTGATTTTCTTGGCGGGCTCGAGCTCCACAAGTAATATGATTTGAATCAGTATGATGATATTACCAGGGGGGATTTTTGGTGAGAGCTATGTTTATTTTTTGAGGGAACTGATATATTTGGGTTAGAATTTTTTTGTGGAGGGGACATCAGTAGGTTTGTGGAAACTAGGAATATGAACTCCTGGCTAGAGAAAGAAATTTCTGAGCAGTGCTTTATCATTTTGTTAATCTATAAAGTAATTTGACCATATTTATATTTATTATTATTAGTTTTCTTTTTTTTTTCTTTTTTTTTCTTTTTTTTCATATATATATTTATTTATATAAAATGCATGTCTTGCTGGTATGATAATTTACCCATGTTTTTAGTGGTTGATTCAAAGCATCATATAGGCCTTGTCCCAATTATTTGGGGTCTGTTTTATGAATCGTTATTTCTGTAGGAATTAAATTTATTCTTTGTAAGTCTATGCAATCTTGTTTATTTTTTCAGTATTATATTTTCCTTATGTGTAGTCAATCAGAGAGCAGCATAATTGCCTCAAAGTCCGGAGAATTAATTTATCACCCTCAAAAAGTTCACCACCAACCTAGATGAGTTCCATTTGAAGGTGCAATAACTACAGAGGAAGCAGAGGTCGCCCCCACCACCTACTCATTCTATACTAGTTGTCACTTTGTCGCGTGTCCATGGCCAAATTAGTTGAGGGAATGTAAAATAAAGGTATTTTAGGTGCCGAACACCGATGAAAGTCAACTCTCACATGTAGGACATGATGATGTATTGTGTTTTACGTATGGACCATGACAATGATAGGGAGGGTTGTCACCACCTCA